TGCTTTGTACATTGTTATTATAGCAAAAGTACTATTGTACAATAGGTATTACAGTTGCAGTAATGCATCATGTGAAATATGTGAATAATGCATAAGTGAAATATTCTAATTTTTTACTTTTATTGGAAACATCAAAATAATGAAGATATTCTAATTAATACTAGATTCCCTTTATTGTAAAAATAAAGTAGTGAATGAAACTATCTAGATGACAGTTTGTGCCAGCACACTGCAGATCACTATTGATGCGGGGCAACGATGTCTATATAGTCAGTGTTACTTACGTAGGGGTTGGCTATTTGCAGCTGTTATTTGTGCTCCTAGATTGTTTAGCCTTGGATGCTCAGTAGGGTGTAAGTGTGCACGATGCCAGTTCTTTTCAATTGAGGACTTTGTCATTTAAATTAAGTGAGACTATAATGTTGCAACCAACCGGTGGTTCGGGCCATTGGGAGACACCAGATTTGTTCTCTGAAGTTCATTTACCTGATATTGCGTGAGGGGCTGAAGCCTGGACTCCTGATTCTAAAGATCTTCTCATCCCCTCAGTCAGTATTGCTTCAATCTGGCCTGCTAGCAGTTTTCTGCAGTAAACAAATACTCTTCCCTGTGGATAAAGGGAGAATAAGCAGGAGATGGAGTCAGTGGGGCCAGTTCTTCGTGCAGTTGTCTAACATAGTGAAGTGTGCTCTGAAAATAGAAGAACTTTATCAGAAAAGGCTACCTTCTTCGTTAATTCTAATCCCAGGTTAAAATAGAAATATGGAAAAATTGAAGAAAGATTTCTTGTTGATTGAAACGGAGAGCTTTAATTGCAAATCCATTTTTTAAGTATGCAAAGAGTGCTTCTTGATACTACAGCCCCAGATTGATTTTGATTGTGGGGTAGAATTCTAATAAATTGGAAGTGGTAGAAGTGGAGATGTAAGTTCAGGGATGTGCAAAATCAGGTTTCAAATTTTTTTTAATATGCATCTAACAGTGGAAGCACTAACACCAGGAAAATTTATTGTCATCTTTAGATGCTTACAAAGTACGTTGTCTTCAGAACATTGGTCTCAGGAATCTAAAATGGCTTGTAGGATTCTTGATGAATCTACTTAAGACAATCTTTGCATCAACAGTCAATGCCAGAGGTCTGGATTGGGCGAAATTTTGATATTTTGAAGGTGTTAATGGAAAAAACATATTGGAATAAACTGCGTTGTCAACTTCATAACATAGAAAAATAAGAGAAAAAGAAGTGAAATGTCCTGTATCTAGTGTATTGTGAAAGATAATTCCAGTTTTTCTTTGGTTGAAGTAAATGATTAAGTTTCAGAAGTAGAGTATAAGGCCTTATAGATTAATGGTTCCTTTCTATCTTGAAAACTTAAATGCTGAATGTTCCAATAATTCGTTTGGAATTCAGGTAGGATTTGGGGGGCTCTGTTGATGTTGGTAAGAAAAGTCATCTAAAGCAGGGATGAGTGGTTAGCGTAATAAGAAACATACAGGTAAGACATACAGAGCAGCAGAAATGCCTGGAACATAAGCAGAACTTCTATAAGTAGTAGGCTTTTTATTTTACTTAATTGTTTTATGGGAGTTCCAGAATGTATTGGGTCTGTGCTTTGGTCAATGGTCCATGACAAATCAATGCTATCTACAGGCAATACATCAATATCTGTCCTGATGAAATAACACTGCCTTAGAAACTCACTGCTTCAGAGAAAGAGCTGTTATTTTAATGGTGCATCAGAATTGACTGGGGGCCTGCAAAAACATAAATTAAGATTCATAATCAAGTTCACTCCCACATGAAAATATTTATTGGTTTTCTTAGCATTAGAATGAACAGAAAAACTGAGCAGTCATAATCTCTGTAAAGATGAATCAAGACTTTTTCCAGCTTTGCACCTTCTTGAATATTAATTCAAGAAGGTGGGACATTACACTTTGCAATGGAGAGAAGAGGCAAAAAATGATAATATCATATCAGAAAATGTAGAACAGATCCTGACTATGTAAACCTCCTTTGGAAGTGAACTTTCATTGTATTTAGGAGAAGTTTTTCATAAGAGCAGCTCTGGCCTAACTGTGAATGGTGTGAGAGCCTTTCAGAATCCTGAGAAACATTTTCACACCTCTTCATCCCGAGACATTAAACAATCTTGCGCACATTCAAGAATATTATTCTAGAATACTTGATGGTCTAGAATATCAGTGCCCCTTCTCTGTCCCCAGTTCCCCTTCCTCCTCATAACAGGACATAAATAATCATAAGCAACATCCTCTTCAGAAACAGTCAACTGACTACTGGGATATGTTTTTGTTTAGCTGAAATAGATATCTTTTTTCCCTTCTTAGTTATGAAACTTGTCTATAAAAATTCACAAAGGATTTAGCTCCATGCAGCATTATTAATAATACAGAAAACATCTGTTGATGTGCTTCATTACACTTGTGATTCTTATCTCACTTTCAAGTATTTTTTGGTATTGTGGCAATACGTGAAGCTGTATAAATGCTTTTTTTGGTTGTTGGTTTGCTTTTTTTTTTTTTTTTTTTTTTTTTTAACCACACAGGACATTCTTAATGAAAAATTTTATAAGATGAGTATGCATAGGAATAACATTAAATGGAAGAGATAGAGTGCGCCGTCATGCGTTAAAACAACATATTTTTATTAGCACTAGCACGATTCTATCTTATTCTGCCTTTCATTTACTTGAACTTCTGGCCTATCACTGTAAAAATATACGTACCAATTTTCTAAAGATTTGAGAGGTTTAATGTATTCCTGTCCTCTGTCACAGAAGCAGTCATCAACTTAGCTTTTTTTCTCTTTTTCTTAGTGAATTATCTCATTGCTCCTCAATAAAATCACTGAACTGGTCAGCTCTATCATCACTAGTTGGTCTAGCAAAGAATACAATGGAAAAGATTCAGTGTTTCAAGCTCTGTAACTGAATTGACTTCTCAAGTGAAATATTTTTTTGCTAAGATTGATTTATTACCAGCACGTAGTAATGTTCTGCCAACTTGTCTGTTAATTACAGATATAGGTACGTCTGAAATCCAAGTTTCTTGCACATTCAAAAATTCACTTGCTTTTCTCTTGAGAAAAGAGTTGACCAAAAACGGGGAACATGCATTTTTTTGACATACAGAGTCAAATGTAAAAAGGTACAATAGAGGTCAGCTTACATCACTACTCTATTGAAACACTCTTAGTTATTAATCAAGCAGGGAACAGCTGAAAACCCCGTTTTAAGAAATCACATCTGTTCAAGGTGGGGGAAAAAATAAAGCATGTGCTTCAGTTTCATTTAAACTGTAATCCATCCAGTCGTTTACATCTATTAAAAAATATAGAACTTTTCACACCTCTTTAAAACACAATTTAACATCATTTATTTTAATACATAGTACGTTCCAAATACGTAATGCCTTCTCTGAAATGTCTCGTAAGTGATTGATTTTATAACTCTTCATCATATATCCTTCCAAGTCCTTTGAATTAGTTTGTATATTAACTACAGATAGCATTTAAAGGAAGAGTTGTGGAAATGGTGTAAACTGAAGACGCAATTACTGAAACTGTCTATTTATACCAGTAAGAGAAGGTGAAGGGAGGGTGTTCTTAAGTGCTGAAATAAAATTTCGCAGGTAAGAAGACCTAGTTCCAGGACTTTGATGGCAAGAAATTCATTTACTTTTAGTCCTGATGTGCTTTTATTCTCACCACAATCGGTGGATTTTGTTTATTGAAATGGATGACTCCCAAAAAGAGTATGATTAACATGGCATTATCTTGCCAATCTGACTGGTAGTCCACTGTGTAATGGCTACTTGTGTAATTTAAATTTCAGTTGAACCAATATAGTTTCTGATTTTAGAATTCTCTGTGACCTTTTACTGTCTGATTGCACAATCGACAGTCTGCCTTTATGTGCTTACTGCTTCACTTGGATCCTTTAACATCTGGCTTCTTTTGTACACATAAGTATATGAAAATGTATGTACATACATTATCTGAAAGACATTTTAATTAGATGATAACATGCTCTATGTATCACAAACCACAAGCCTCAGTCAGAACATGGAATGGTTGGTGCCCATTCAGTAGCAGCTAGTTAGTGCTTCGTTTGTGTACTTTTCAGCTAGAACCAAATGGAATTATAAACAACTTGAAGTTTTGCCTTATACACTAGGTATACACAATGTGCCTATTCTATATGTTATAAAAAATAAACAAGTCATGTTAAGGATGTCCCAACTTTAAAGCAGGAGACTGTTTACATTCTAACAGCCACAGTGCTCCAGTGTAATCTGGGAAATATGGTTTTCCAAGAGCCTCAGCTCTCTTTCTGCAAAGTGGGAGTGCTTCTGTAGCAGTATAAAATCCAGTTATGATTAGTAGTTGCTCATGTATTATAGTGATGTGGTGAGTATAAGTGTGCTTACAATGGTCCCTTTGGTGTGATATACATATCTGTTTCAAATATTTGGGGCTCAGTGGAACGTTTTTGTTTTAGCAACGCTGTTTCTTTGCTAAGTATTGAATAATAAAACAACAAAATCTCGGAGGAGGACTGTATACCAGCCTATACCAATACTCAAAAAAGGACAATATACTCAAAAAAGTGATTTTTTCTCTTTGGTATGGAGCCCTACATGAAATTGAGATACTGGTCAGCATCTGGCAACTGGCAAGTATGTTTGCTTGCTAGTTTTTATAGACGAGCTGGAGAAATGAATATGAAAGAATAGATAGCACTATCTGAAGTAGAAATGCTACTGAGTATTTTTGAAGATACCCTTTGTATCAAGATGCTGATGCATAAAAATAAAAACCAAGTGTGGTTTTTTCCTTAATATTATTCAAGTAACTGTGTGATTTTTTCCTGATTTTTAGTGATCCTGTAGGCACTGAATAAATTTTGCAGGAGCAGAATTATGAAGTATTGTTACAAAAATAAATACTGTATTCACCTAGTCATTCTGTTTTGTTGCAGAGGATCTTGATGACCTAAGAATGGAAGGAGTAACAAGTCTGATGTCTTCTGGGAGCAAATTCAATCAAAGTAGAAGTGCTCATCCTGCTGAACCGCAAGCAAAGGTCACATTGAATATCTGTGCAAGATGTGCCAGGTAAAAATCAAAACGATGCCGTGCCACCAAATACATTCTTTTCCCCAAGTTTTTCGGATATGTATTGCACTTTGTTTTGGGTTAGGTGATGACCTCTCCTGTGCCACGTTTTTGTTTTTTGTTTTTTGTTTTAAAAAGCTACTAACTACCCCATGACCTCAGGCATCTGGGTTGTGCAACTTAACGTTTATGCTTGATATGTCCCGTCAACAATGAATCAAAGAGTGTAGTTAGTCTTAGGCCTTACTTCACAGCTTGAAACTATTTTAAGCCTTTCTGTCTCTGAATTTCATTAGTTATTTGAGCTTCTGTGGTTTTTCAGGAGATGAATCAGGGAATTTAAAGGTTCAAATCCAATTTGAAAAGCACCTGTATAAATGGAGATTTAGTTGCACAGGTGCAGTCCAGGACTTCAAATAACTGCTTCTTAGCACTTTATAATCTCATCCTGTTTCACCTCTGAGAAATAATTTAATCGGGTTGAGCCCCTTTTGATTTTGACAGCTGGAAATAATTCTTGCATTTACAGTATGGGGGCCAAATAAACAGTTTGGTGATCCTGTAGCCAAGTCAGCTTGGGAATGCAACACTAACAGAAACCCCTTAAATTTCCTAGATGCATTCTTCTGTGTAGACAAAAGCTCATTTGGAGAAAGGATTTAAGCCTGTTTAAATGACAAAACTAGCCTTCTCACCCTTCTGTTAATGGTTCAGATTAACAAGAACAATACAGAGGCATGCCAATTTTATCTGCCTGCTTTGCCAATGGCTGCTCCATTGTATAGTTTGAGAGGGGATTAACCGCTTGTAAATAAAAAGCAACCTGTGGTGAAATTAAGTCAAAAGTTTGGCCATATGCCACCCTACGTTTCTACTTTTTTTTCCCGTTTTGCTTGTAAGTTACTACTTTTTTAAAGGCTCTTATGTAGGAAGAGGGGCTCCAAAACGCTTTCTGAGCGTTTTTCTCTGGAGGCTATGGCTACAGGCATACTGAGTATCTGTGCAGTGGCATCTCCTCAGCACAGTCGTGGGACCTCAAACTTCAGTTCCAGTACTGCCAGAGCAGCAGTGGCTAAGGGCTTTGTGAGTCCAGGCAGTTTTACTGTTAACAGCGCAGCTATGTGCTTTAAGAAAAAAGTAAACATATACCAGGCATGGGATTCTTCCCAATTCACTGGAAAAAAATTGTATGTGTTACAAAATATTTCCTAACAACTAGCTACGTGAAAGAATGACACCTTTTTTTTCTACTTGCATTGGTTGTCCATGAACTATCATGTAGAAAGGCAAGGAAAAGGAAATGTTAATTTTTCTACATGATCTCTTAGAACTTACAAGTCTGTCATTTATAAGAACTATATAAGTCTTGTATGGATTAATATGAAGCTTAATTAAATTTTAAATTCCCTGAAATAGCTACAAGCAGCAGGTGCCAAGATGCAATATATCCTCTCAGTTCTCACATCAGGGAGCATACCACTCAAATCTTGGGCCAGTCGTAGCAGCCTTGGCTATTGTTATATTGTCCTTTGAGTGTATTACATGATGCTGCAGTCTTGAAATATGAATTACCCTTTTCTCACTTCACTCTCGTGATCAGAGAATGCAAAGCAATACTTTGTCACCTGTAGAACTTTATGACACTCGCTACCCTGTTTAAGAATGTCAGAGAGGAACTGGATGATACCTGCTCGACTGGTTCTTTTTGTTCTTCTGGTTGCAGTTAAACAATTTCTTTAAACTGCTGATAGACCAAAAAATAGACCATCTTATCAGTGGCACGAGGCTTAAAATAGAGCTGTGTATTGCTTTTGTATTCTGTTGTGGGGAAGAACTCTGTGTGTTCTGTTGTGATCAAGAAATCTATTGATTCTTTTGGAGCATTCCTTTCTCACTGAGTTCGAGGACACCTGTCCATTCTTCTTCAAGACAGAGTTCTCATTGCAGTAGCTCTCTTTTTTCAATTTCTTCGTAATGAATTTGTCAAATGACTTCTGGCAGAAGCTATATGTTTTTTTCCTGTTTTCTTCCCATGAGCAATAATTTTTGCTGTTACTGAGTGATACAGTCATTGAAAATAACATCAGAAAATCAACGTCCAAGCAGTTGGATCATCTCTATGAAGGTTTCTCAGTGTTGGTATTTATCTTCATTGTTATGTGAAAACCGAGTATTTATTTTAAGGTCATTATACGGTATTGTAATGCATTTATTTGTTCTAGAAATTTTAGTTTCATTCTTTCATATCCTCTAAGTAGTCTCATGTGCTATACATACTTTGGGCCTTCATTGTAAGCACATTTGAATAAAATTGAAAAAGTAGTCAGTGTAAGTTGTTGTTATACGTACTTTTAGCCACAATTAAGCACATCTGTCTTCTTAATTTTATCCATTTTTTCATCTAAGAAAGTGATTTGAAATGAGTGGCCTATTAGTTGGCCGTGGGTATTCTGTAATTAATGAGACCTGTCAGAACAGATTACCAAATCATGTTTACTGCAAGTATTTTGGCTGTCAGTAGGAGGAATATGACTTTTTTAGACAAAAAAAAAAAAACAACCCTTTTTTCAGACAGAAGTTTAATTTTACTCTTACGTATACATAATCCTAGCTCTGTCAAATTACTGTATTTTTTTTAATGCTCCATCGTTATTTCATTGTACAGTCATGTTACCTCCTATGATACATCCTACACAAGCTTCACTTGAACATTTTGGGGCTCTTCTGAGAGGGATTTCTGATGCAATGTTTGACAGAGTGTTACAAAAAGGTCTTCAGAAAGCAGGCCAAATGGGAGTCCCTATAGAAAGAGTTATAAATCTGATTTGTTGCAAAGCAAATTAAACACATTTTACATTTTGGGAACCACTTGGAATGCTGCTGAGACTGCATTTGGTAAAACCTCCTCCATCACTTTAAGAAGCTTTTTCAAGAATTGTAAGACATGAGTCTGAGAATGGACAATGGTAGAAATTCATATTTTTTATTTTTTAAACAAGTTTTTTAGAAACTGACATCTAATCATGAATGCTAATAATTTCACCAACCATCTTCAAGAAAAACAGATGGAGTTGTCACAGCCCAAGTCAGCAATTTTAATAAAACATGCTTTTCACCCGTCTGGGAGATGAGGGGAATCCTTTCAAGCCTATCCTATCACACCATGTTATTTTTTTAGAGTTTATGATTTAAAAACTGAAAAAAAAAAAAAAACAAACCAAAAAAACAACCACGAAACGTCTGACAAAAAGAATAATAAAAGTAGGCATTAATTCTCCCGGAGTATAAATAGGTTTGTAGGCTGGAATATAGCTGTAAGAAACAGAGAGCTTACTGTTTTCTGTATAGATGTTTCACAAACGGTGAGTAAAATGCAGATGGATAACAGCTTTAAGAGGGTTTTCAAATGGAGAAAATAGCCACAGGACAATGTTATTCCCATAGTTGCTCTTGAACTACATCACACGTTAAGCAGCATATTGAGTCATCTAAATAAAAGGGTGACATCATTCACAAGGTAGAACAAAGCAAGATTTGTAGACACACAAAAAAGGGGCTACAAAAATAACTGTATTTAGAATAATTGCTTTTTGAAGTTTTGGCAGGAAAATTAGCAAAAGCAATTTTAGTGCAGCCAACCTGGATTTAGATCTCTTGAGCAAAGTGTTTACAATAAAAATTCCATTTTGTCTAGGGGTGCAACTAGTTGGACTGAATGGACTGACCTATTCTGTAAAACAATTTTGTGATTTCTTTCTCACATACAAGCAAAACAAATTGAGCTTCATTTTCAACTGATGAGTCATAAGGCACCTTCACACATAAACTAAACTCATATGTGTTAAATAAAGGTGTAAGTGACAAATTGTAAAACTGAACAGTGCTTCCACATTTTCTCACATCTTGTTACGTGTGCACTGAGAGTTTTGCAAGATAATAAGATAATATTGCTGTACTAAGGCCATTTGAATGAAGTTTAACGGTTTTTTTGTGGTGTTTTTTTTTGGAGGACCACCCATTAGCCTTGTATGCCCACTGCCATGCTCAAAAGTTAAATCTTGTTCTTGTGGAGTCTTGCCAGTGCATTCCTGGAAGTAAGAAGCTTTTTGTTTTTAATAGCGCAAGGGCTGCATTCATTCTTCTTAACATCAATAGAATACAAAAAAGGGGTTGCATGTGATTAAAAAAGAAATGGGATTATAGAAAACATACTGTGCCACAAGCTTGAAGGCTTCTGAACAAGAATGTTGGGAAGGAGCACTCGTTGCATACAAATTTAGGTTTGAGATGCAATATATTTAGTTAATAATTTGTTTTAAGATTATTTGGAGTACAAGCACAGTGTCCTCAGGCCTTTTAACATATTTGAGAAATCAAGTATATGGGAAGTGAATCTGTAAATTAAAAAAGTAATCACAGCTTTTCTAACCATTGCCATTGGGATGTGTATTAAAGGTCAACTTCGGTAGCTTGCGTTGATAATGTAGAATACATGAGATGCTTTGTGCATGCTACCATTTATGAATACTCTCTGAAATATCAGTTTGGAAGAATTATTCAAAAACTCACACATTAGTTTACCTTGCCTGATTTAGTGTTGCCCTGCTTACCATGTGTATCTCTTAACTCCTTTACATGGTTTCTTCTCCCATTAATCTTCAAATTAGCTACTTTATATACCAAAGCCAATCAACTTTTCTTTAACCAGCTGCATTTTTACATTTTCGTAAACATTGTTTTCTGCAGTATGGTCTCCACAACTTCCATGTGTACTTGGTATATACTGAGATAAATGGCATGGTACTGTGTGAAATTTAAGAACCACACATGGGTGCTCTGAAATGTAGAGCATAGCTTCATGACATACTTTCATGAGGATCATGACAGTGTGGAGGGAAGAAGTGAAGGAACCAGACAGAGAAAAACAAATTGCTGTAGACATTAATTTCTATAAATTTGACAGAAGTTGCAGAATAATGATGATGAATAGAACTCTTGTC